AGCCTTCCACATTCACTGGGATTAGGGGTGCAAGACTCCCATGAATCTGCAGATGTGGATGTGGCTGACAGTACTCTGCTTTAGGCTAGAGATTATTTATTATGTGCTCCATTTAAGTTGTATGTTGTTTTTGTATATACCACCTCTTGGTTAACAATTTACTGTTTGGATACATAGAAGCAGCAAACAACAGGTAGAAAAGCAACACTGATTGGAAAACTTTCATGGTCCAGCCACCTACAATGGAAGAGCATAACAGAGAACAGAACATACATATGTGCACATAAACAAATTTTCACAGTATGTTTTTCACTTGTAAATCATTACAACTGGAGAGAAAACTTCTGGCTGTCTGAACCTGTGCTAAAGTCCACATTGTGTGATATTTGCTTTAAGGCACACTTGATATGTTGCTGTGTGTGGCCTTGGAAAGCATTCCTCATTTCTCTCAAATCATCCAGATTAATTGGCTCTTTTTTGCCTTCTCTAAAACAACTCAAGTCATCTTTCTTATATTTATAGTTAAGATACAAACAAGAGAATAATCATACATATGTGGGTTCTTATGTTGAAAAAAAATGTCCTTACCTCTTCACATGCAGTCCTGAAATCCATGTGCTATGGCACCAAGAGATGTGGGTCTAAGAGAGGAAAAAAGAGGTTTTATCATAACAAGAATGGCTGGCTATCAAATATTAAAATGCATCATATTGATCTGCAATACTGAAATGGGCAACTTGGAGCCACCCAGAAATCCCTGCATGCAACTTTCATCAGGAGTATTTTTAATTTATTATTTATATCCTGCTTTATCTCTTTCAAAGGAGACTCAAAGCAGTTTGACATAAAAGCATTAGCATACAATTTAAAGCATACACAAATATGCAAACATTAAAGCAGAATGAAATATAAGCAATATTTCTAAATCTCCATTAGAACATATATTGTGCCCTGCATTGCTTATGGTGATAGAAGCTGAGTGTCACTGTTTGAAAAAAAAATAGGACCACAAGTTGACCATCTCTACTGAAAAAAGACACAATTATAAACACCATGTTGACCATTGAAGGGAGAGGGGGGATAACTCTGGGCCCTTTCACACTGTACCTTTAATTTGGGAGAGAACAGGTTAAAAGTGGGGTGGTTCCACCTAAACCGGGCTCTACAGGCCAATGGATACTCCACCACAGACATCAGAAGAGCTGCAAGACCAAGAACAAGCCACGAGAGTAAAGACAAAGATCCACCCAGAGGAAAAAGTGTTATTACCATACATCAAGGGAACCGCTGATCGCATAGGGAAGCTGATGAAGAAACACAAAATACGAACTATCCATACATCCACTAACAAAATCCAACAAATGCTACATTCAGCAAAGAACAAGAGGGATCATCTCACCTCTGCAGGAGTCTACCGTATACCATGCAGTTGTGCACAAGTCTAAATACAGACCACTAAACACAGCATCCAAACATGAATCAAGGAACAAGAAAGGAACTGCAGACTA